GAGGGGGGAAAATGGGGATATCTGTAATAGTGTCAACAATAAAAATAAAGTAAAAAAAAAAAATTTTACTCTCACATCATTCAACTATCCGAAAGACATGTAAAAAGTTCCCCCGGGAAGACTGGAAAGTCATTGCATCCCTGGCCCCTCCACACCCAAGTAAACTGACCGATTCTCTTGGACTTCTCGGTGCTCCAATCAACAAATGAGAATGTGTTACACATGGGCACACATTGTTCTGCCCTTGGGTTGTCCATATCTCCACTGTCCCTGAAGACCCCTCGGGTCAGTGAATGAGGTGCCTCCACCCTTTAGAAAAGCTTCATAATATTCCCCAGGTGAGTGAATCAGACTTTGTTCACTTTGTGGACATCCTGAGGACACTGGGTTGTTTTCAGTCTCTTCTTTTAGACATGTGACAAGAACTTTGTACACTCATCACCTAAACAATGCAAAGTGACAGGTGAGGCAAACCCCCAGGTGGCACTGCTGGCTCTGATGCCCCAGGTCTACCTCTGCTGGGAGCATCCCAGTTACCCGCCCACTGAGGCAGACACCCAGAGTTCTCAAACCCCAGGGCTTTTGCAAATCCCACAGGATGAAAAAAATGGCATCTTTGAGAAAGTTGACTCGTGTTTCTAGTATAACAAGTGAAGGTGAAGTGTTTCCGTACCTTCAAGATTCTCTTGTTTCTGGGCTATGAACTCCTATCATCCGTATCTTTTTTTTTTTTTTTTTACTACTGGGCTGTTGTTTCTTTCTTACTGATTTTAGGTGCTCTTCATACATTAATCATAATTATGTTATATATTATTAAATGTATACTTTTTTGTTGTTGTTCTTGTTAATCCTCACCCGAGAATATTTTTCCATTGATTTTTAGAGAGAGTGGAAGGGAGGAAGGCAGGGGAAGAGAGAGAGAGAGAGAGAAACATTGATGTGAGAGAGACACATCGACTGGTTGCCTCCCACAGGTGCCCCAACTGGGGCCGAGGACCCAACCTACAACTGAAGTATGTGCCCTTGGCCCAGAATGGAACCTGGCACCCTTCAGTGTGCGGGCTGATGCTCTAACCACTGAGAAACACTGGCCATAGATTAGTATATACATTTTAAATAAATATATATATATATATAGTGATATATTGTTTAAATTTTTATTTTAATAAAATTTTTATTTTAATAAACTATATTATATAATATATAATTCTATTTATTATTTTCATATAATTGTATTTATTATTTATTAATTATGTTTTGGCTCTTTCTATATTAGGTACATGAGCCTTCTGTGTCAAGTGACAGTCTTTGGCCAGTGCCTCGTGTGCCTCTTGACTTTGCTACACAATATATTCTTGACCAAAATGAGAGATGGTTAAGATGCTTCCTCTGTCAGGTGGAGATAACAGCAGCCGCTGGTTCTCAGGGCTGTGAGTGAATTCATTGAGTGGAGGCCACTCTGCCAGAAAATGCTCATTACCTCCTGCCCCCAGCCCCTGCCAACCTGGAAAAGCAGAGATAAGGTGCAGAGAGAATGGGGATGGCCTTTTTATTAGAGTCACAACTGCACAGGCTGGGGTGGGGGTGGGGGACCCGCCCTGAGATGGGAGGTCACAGGCCCCCTCCCACGGGTTCAGCTGAGAGCCTCTCAGGCCAGCAAGGGGTTTAGAATAGAATCCATACAGTCTTGGAAGAGTGCCACATGGGCAAAGAAGTTGGGGACCCCTTCCACAGGGCTCCGTCGAGAAGGAGGCCACACCACATGCCAGGCCTTTACAGATGAGGGGGGTGCTCCCATCATCCTGGACAGATGGCAGGCCAGTCAGGGCACCCCCATGCCTAGCCCCCCACTCCACTCTGCCACGGAACCAGTGAGCTGGCAGCTGCCCCCACAACTTGAGGTCCTGCAACCTCCAAACCTATTCCAACCCCACGTGTTCTCCTGCTGCTAAAATGCTCAAATGTTTGGTCTTCCAGCTCAGTCCCAGGGCCCTTGTCCCAGACTTGCTCTCTTCCACTATGGGGAACTCGTTAGCTCTCAAGACCTCTCCTCCTGCCATGGGGAGCCCTTGCCAGGTTGCACCTGGCCCGTACCTGCAGGTAAAAATGTCAGTGCACACATTGTTGGGGTGACACTAGTCCAAGGGGGTCGTGGTGATGTTGAGGACCTTTGGGAAACTGGAGAGAAGTCTCCTATGC